TGTAGGTTTGTATTGATTGTTTGTAGATTTTTTGGTACGGTAGGGGGGAACACGTGTGGATTTGTTTTTGGCAGAATTTCGAATGGGGCACCCGTAGGTTTCTGCCATGCCCCGGGGGTGGGGGATGGCAGCACTTGTTCTCCGGTCACCGCGACTTGTCCGGAGAAAAATGCCGCCCGGTGGCCGAGGATCGAACCGCGACCGGCTGCGTCGCAGCGGAAGAGTCAGACCACTCGGTCACCTCGTCCCCCTTAATTATATTGTGTGTGTTCAACTTCAAAGTATGCATTATTATGGCTTTATGACATGATGGTAAAATGCACAGATAAGAAAAACGATTGTAAAGATATTCTAATATAGTTTAATACAATAAAATGTACTTAAATATAGTTTTGTATTTGTTACTTTTTCAAAAACCTATCAAATATTTTAAATGTGTCACCATTTTTATGAATCTTAATGAGTGTCGTCGTAAAAAATGTTTCTAAAGCACTGCCTTATATGAAGAATCATTTTTTGTTTAAGGTACTTATTGTGTATAGGTTTATATGGGTCACACTTCAAAATTAATGTTCTAAAGTCTAAAATGTCTATCTAAATGAAGTGATTTGTTTGGAATTTTTCCAACTTACTTTTTGGCTGATTATTTACCAAGAATTATACACATATGAAACTTTAGGTTCTAATAACCTAGATCAAGAAACTAGGTTCGGAGAATTAAATTAGTTATACGTGTAAGCAGCCGACTGTTGTCATGACAACACTGTAATATAATGTATGTATTGATATCACTATTTTTATAATTGTATGACGTTCCTTTACAATTCGATTTTGTCTCAATATTTTTACTTATATTATAAATTAAAGCAATGGAAATCGTAATTCTAAGAAATAGAAATATTATGTACATATCTGAATCTCTTGTTCAAGAGATTGGTTGTTTCGTTAGAGTGAGTGCAGTGTTTAATACCTATATATATATATATATACATATATGTTATGTGCTTACTGTTTGGATTTAATTAATTGATATTATGATTTTCATAACAATTATTTTACGTAGTATTTGTACTTGGACAATAACATCATACGGACACTACCCGACGAATTATTTACTGGTTGTACAAATCTTATGTGGTTAGATTTAAGATGCAATAGAATACGTCAATTGCCAAATGGTATTCAGGGTCATACAAATTTACAAGTATTGCTTCTGGGCAAAAATGATTTAAGGCGATTGCCTATAACGCTGGGTATGTAAAATGTATAAATAGCTTAAAATATTTTTAATATTGTAATAATAAATGATAACAGGTGATAATAACTAATAAGTGATAGTACTCATAGTACAATAATATGTGCAATAATTAATTATTTAATTTTTAACCTAGAACGCCTTACAATATATTTATGTATATTCTATTTTGATTATATGTAGGTATCTAGTTATATTTACTATACCTAGTTACATTTGTGCTCAAATAATGTTTGAGTTTGTGGTGGGGAGGGGGGTCAAACTCTACCAATGTAATAACTAATAAGGTTAAAAATATTACGAAATTTATAGGAGGATTATTGAAATTTTGGGCCCCTAAAGGCCGCTTCCTATTTTTGTCTATGTCTATAGCTTAATAACTATATTATAAAGTGCTTATAACATGATATTATATATAATCATACATATTATAGCATTTCTATTGGTTATAAATTACCTAATAATAATAAGAATTTTTATTAAAAAAATAGTATTAGGTACCTAATTGAATTCTAAATCCTAATCATATTTCATAGTTATTACTTATTTTATATCTATAATTAAAAAAATATTAATTATAAGATCCATTAATATGATTAAATATACAATTATTTTTCAAAATTTTATATTTTTGTCAGTCTTTATTTTCATTGTTTTTAAATTAAGTTTTTGGTGGGCCTCTACTTTTCACATTTTAGTTTGGTAATTTTTCGACTTAAATTATATAATAATAAATTACTATTTTTATTCAAAAATAAATAATATACATAGGTAAGTTATAGGTGTATAAATTTATATACCTTACTCTTACATAGATGTCTGTATGAAATGTTCTATTTTACATCACTAATTACCAATGTATACTACTTTAAAATCTTAACATGATAGATTATAAGCTTATTGTAATAAATATTTTATTATTATTATGTTATTATACTAATTCATAGGCTCATTACCGAAACTTCGAGAATTACACGTTGCAGGAAATCCACTTGATTGCCTTACTAGAGACGTGGTGAAAAAAGGTTCTAAATATTTAATAAGTTTTTTACAAGAAAAATGGAAAAGTGAACAAAATATTTTGGACACCGTTCAAAAAAATAATGATGAATTAAACGTAGTAAAAAAAATAGAAGACAAAATACTTAAAAAAAACAAAAAAAACAAAAAAATTGTAACTATATAACTATAAATTATTAAAAATAATCAAATATCTATTTATTATTCTCTGATATTATAATATAATATAAATTATATTATAATTGTTTAGATGGATACGTCAAAAATGCAGTTGATGGAAAGATATAGTTGGCCAATGATATTTCTTACTAATTGGTTGGTATTTATACTTATTTATAATTTTCAATCACTGTAATACATAAGCAAATAATATATAATACTTTAAGCGTATGATGGGTGGTATAGTTTTAAGCAGAAGGTATAACTATAATTTAGAGTTTACTAATATTTTGTGTTAAGAAAAATCATAAGACATTAAATGGGCATCAAACAATTCTGAAGTTAAAAGCATACAACTTACATACTCAGTTTTTACGACATACACTATACTAGAACTATACTAGGTTTGTCAGAGCGACATCCACTTAGCCGCTTTTTTTTATATTGCACTAAGCTAATTTTGGCTTAATCAATAGCTAGGTTGGTTATTTTAAAAACCAAGGAAGCCAAAAAGAGGGAAGAGGTATAAGAGGGTGAGAAGAACTGGGTGAATTGGTTCATGTAAAGATACACAACATGCTATTTGAACATGGCCTTGCACACTACTATTCCCTCAGATAGTATTATATTATACCTATTACCCATATATTATTAAAATATTATTTACAAATTAATGAATTGCTTACTTAAGTAGGTAGATACCTAATTACACTTTTACCTATGAATTAGGTATATATTAGTCAGTAAATCATACATTAGTAATTAGTTTATTGTATACCTATAACCTATTACAATATTAATTACAAATTAAATAATTATTGTGAATCACTTATTTAAACTTTTGTTATGTGTTCTAAAACTTAGGAGCACTGACCGTTTAGTTACTGATCGTGATATTAGGATGAAAGAATTAGAGAGACTTTATTTGGAAAAACAAAAATTAATATTACAGAAACAAGAACGAATTTTACAATCTTACAAGTGAGTTTAGTCGTTTCGTATGTTATTTTATTAATTGTATATGCTTTCGAATTACATTCGGCCATTCGGGCTTCTAACCTAGAGATGTCTATCTATAAAAACTTGGTGTTTATGTATAACGGTACCACATGGTGACATGGTGTCATTACTCATTAGGTACTTAAGGAAATGTTCGATAATCATTTTTTCTTAAAATACAAATGTTTATAAAAAAACTACATTTAAATGAAACTTTCATATGATCAGTTTTTTTAAAATCAAAAAACAAGGAAAACAAAGTAAAAATGTTAAAGAGTCTTTTACTCGAGCATTGCCTCTGTGAAGAATGGAATGCTGGATCGCGCCCCCCCTCGTTCTCAATAAAAAATGTTGTACACTTGTTTACGTGCATAAGCCTATAAAGTAAATACCTACTGCAGTACAATTTAAAGCATTTCCCAAACTGTGGTCCGCAAGTATAACTGAAGGAGTCTGCAAACTCGTCTGTAAATATTTAATAATTAAATTTTTATCATTATTTATTATTGTTTTTTTTTTTTGTTAAAAGTGATGCGTCGGAGGAAAAGTTTGGGAAACGCTGTATAAACGATAATTCGGGACACCCGACACTGCAGTACTAAAAGAGTGGTGAACAAATTATTATCATACACGGGGCATACTTTTTGCCTTTGGGTGGCCAAGCCCTTAACAATACTCTGATATGTATTTATTTTCTCGGTATCACGCATTTCAATCATGACCATAGTGGCACTTATCCATTTCCGCCAATTTTAAAATGGGTGGATTCCCATTTCAGCCAATTTACCTCTTAATTATTATATTTACATATATTCCATAAAAAAAAAAAATGTATATTATTTTATTTAATAAAATTTATTTTTCATCCTATATAGGTGTTGTAAATTCTTAACAGCCCACACACACATATATATATAGAATTACGTCTTTATAACTCAAGTTGTCTGTTTGAGTAAAAATTAAACTTCTTTTTAGTTTTCGTTACAATGTTCTTTGGTTACCATTTTACCAAATACCTACCTATAGCCCATGGGTGCTGTTTTTCTAAATTATTATCCCTCTACTTTTGAATATTAACATTATTCAACACTTCAACGGTCAACAACCATCCGTTCAAATTCAATTTTATTATTTCAGTTCCAATCAAAGTGAAATATTCATTTATAAGTATTCATTTGTCGTGTGTACCTACTGAGTAAGATGTATTTTTTTTTTTTAATAAGACCATTAGCATAAATTAATTCAAATAGTCACTCATTATTTATTAAACGCTTCTGTAAGTACATGAAAATGCGAAACTTCTCCCAAAAATATGGAATAAGAATAAGTAAAATAATTTTACCATGTCAGGTAGATTGGCGGAAACCGGTATCAAAACTTTTTAAAATTGACGGAGATGATCATTTAACATTTTGGCAGAAAAGGCATGTGCACCTACAACACAATGTTATTACCAGGGGAAGGGCATTGTACTTGAGTCTTTCCAGAATATTTTCAAGTTCCTATAAAATGGATTTGGTTTTGGTCTTCCTACAACACTTATAACGTTATAATATTTATAACATTATAAGAATTATATTTTATATTATCACAGATTTACTTTCTTTTTTATTGATCTAAAGCCCGGTAAGTATGGCCATTAGCTGTTTGTTAGGGGAACAGTTGATTTGAAACACGTGTTTATATGTGTGGCAAGGATGTGTTGCTAACAACTCGGGTGGTCACCCATCCGAGTGCTAGCAACGACGGCTGGTAGATACTTACGCGCAGAGCGTTGCCGCAGATTGCGCGTATGACCGCCCCTCACCAAGCCACATTTACATAATTATTAATTATATACATAAGCATGCAATTGGGTGAGGAGCTAAAGGGGTTATAGCCCCTCAAAATTCTGTTAAGCCCTATCGGAATGTGCAAGAAGTGCCGGCGGCATCGTCGATACCAAAATGAAAAAAAGGCTACGCCTATATGATTATACACGTATACCAGGAGGCAAAATGTGTGCAGTGCCTAAGTTGAAATTTGAAGTCTGTTTATTAGATAAATATGTCAAGCACCCTTTCCCCTTCCCACTCACACACACACTTAACCAAATTTCTGCTAATGATCATGGCACTACAATATGTGGACTGTGGACATGTGTCATGCGTGATCACTGGTCAGACAAGTAAACATACACCAAAAATATTTACTAATACTAATTTATGACATAGGGACACCGCTGTTAGGTAAAATTTTTATTTTTCTAGTTGGGTCATACATTATAATATAACAACATATTTTTAAATTTTTAGAGATGAAGAAACTCTGAAAATATGGAGAAATAAAGCAAAACAATTGCAATATTTTGAAAATTCATCCAAATTAAAAAGTTGTGAGTAAATATACCTCATGTTAATACGTTATAATTGTAAACCTAATAGATACAGTGATTTTTTAAGCATGATCATTGATCATCCTATTTTTATGCTTAAATTATTCAAATATTAAAATTCAGATTTTTGGAATTATTAAATATACACTTGAAGACCATTTTTCGAATTATTGACATTTTTTGTGTTACTTAAGGATGATCCTGTGACAACATAGACTTCAGTTTTTCAAATAGTAACCTCCCTCTTTCATTTTTCATTATTAAGCAGATATTTTTTTTGATAATTTTGTATAAAAATCAAAATTCAAGCTTTTACTTTTTGAGTTATGTAACTTTGTGTGTTAAGTTTTAAGGATTCTATTTCTATAGTAATGGGTTAAGTAGATAGGTGGCTTAGAAGATTTGAAAAAGTTAGCGATTACTATTGATTTATCAATATAAATAGATTGTAAAAATAATTCAAATATAATAAATATTATATCTGACATTACATACCTAAATTTTGTTTTTGTTTTTTTAAAACCATCATTAAAGATTATTCTGATTATTATCCTTAGTATAAACATTATAATAACTCTAAAACTAAGTAGGTATTCATTAGAATATTGTTTTAAAATTTAGATACATCAAAATTTTCCAAAAAATCATCCACTGAACAATTTTTAGTAAGAAAGGGAGGTCTCATTTGAAAAATAGAAGTTTGTATCGCCACAGGATAGTCCTTAAGTAGTACAAATAATAACAGAAATTTGAAAATATGGTCCCAGGTCTACTTAAAAATCAGAATTTGACTAAATATACCATTTAAGGGAAACATAAATGGGGGTGAGCATGTTTAAAAAATCACTCTGTATTTAATACCTATTTTAATCTAATATAATAAGTACCTAATAGGTAATGGGTATTAATGTATTATCATTTATTATAATATAAAGTTACATATTATTTTACTGTGCATATAAGTACCAATAAGTAATAATCATATTATTGTCTTATCAATATCATACATATTTTTAAATTTAGATCGAGGACTCGAGATACCATTTGGAGTAAATAAAGAATTTTCAAAAATGATATCCAGACAAACATACAGACGAGTAATTATTTAGTCAGTAAATTAAATGTACATGTAAGGTAAATTCCAGGGGTGGACGAGTTCCCTGGATAACAAAAAATATTTTCTGTAATACAGACCTTTTTTTGCCTAATAGCATTTTATGACATAGCCACTGGCCACTGAAGCCTTTAAAACAATTATAGAATAATGATAAAAAGGGTTGAGAATAAAACTATAAATATGTTTGTTAAATCTAATCGGTGGCATGGCGAAGGGGGGTAATCTAGAGGCGATTACCTCTAAGATTTTTTAGGATCAATTTTTTATTATGGTTTTAAAATTGCTTGATAGAGTCAAAAATGGGAAAATTCCCACACCCCATAAATATAATGTAAATATAATAGTACAATTTTTAAGAGAGAGTTAAGAACCTAGAGTTCAAAGTTCAATAATAGGTCATGGGCTTGTAGATGAGTGGACATCGAAAAATATACTTGCCTCTGAAAATTCTTTAGTTCCCCACGCCACCGAATCTAATGAGTAGGTACATATTTTTATTCCTTCAATTATTACCTTCATAATATTTTAGTTGTCGAAGTTGAAATTTTTTTGAAAATTGGTTTTGCATAAATTTTACTGTTTTTCCTAATTATTTAGAAAAATAGGTACTGTTTGATTTTTTATATTTATTACCCCTCCAATACTCTGGTAAACAACTTAATCAAAAATACTATCAGAAGTCATCATCAATTCTATTTTTTATATTATGTACCTATAATGATTACACTATAATCTATATACTACCCATACATGATTAATTAAAATATAAGTTAATGTGACAATTCTAGGTCTAAATGGTGTTTTTTTTTGTTCTAGTCCAACGGTGGGGATAAGTATATATAGAATGTTAAAATTTAATTTAGCCATGCATTACAATGTAAAAAACAATTATCTTAGGTTAATTTTTACTTCATAACATTTTTAAACAGAGAATTTTTTTTTATGAATGTATTTTTATCTCTATTTGAATTTTGAACTAATAGTATTTTAAGTTAAGATGAATGAGTAAAATAATAAGTAATGCACCGGCAAAATATATAACCATTTGCATTGCATGGTGAGATATAATAATAATAAAATTATATAATTTAACAAATAATCGATACAATGGACAGATAAGCTTATTTAAAAAAAATGTAGGTTTAAATGGTGTATGAGTATTTGACAACCTGTACAATTTTAAATTCACAATTATTTATTTTATTTATAATGATAAATTTGTTTTTAGGAAAGTGTGGAAAATATAAAGTATAAGAATGCTGTAAAACCTTCAGTAATTAAACCGTAAGTACTATGTATATTTTTTTGAATCTTAACTTTATTCTGAGCTCTGAATACAATGTATTGTTAGTAACCCATTTGGGCATATTATAGAGTACTTATAAACGTAAAAATGTATTGTTATTTTATACAAAAAATAGTATGGGACTTAAAAATGTATGGTAAATCAGTTATTTAATAATTTTGATCAAATATATTTGATGTTTATTTATTAAAACTTTTGAAGGTTTGACTTTGACTTGGAAATGTCAGATATTTACAAAATGCTAATAAGTTTAACATCAAACAATGTAGAAAATACAAACAGTGATAAAAAGAATGATCCAAAAATATCAATTGATTGGGAAATTCAAAAGGTTTGAAAATTACACTGTTTTATAATATACTAAAATTCAGTGTGTTCAAAAATAAGTGACATAAAATATTTTAAACGCATGACCCTGTATTTCATTGGTATTTTTTTATCGCATAATAAACAAACTGATCATGCGTTCAAAATATTTTGTGTTCCTTTAAACGCTAAACACAGTGTATACTTTTTATTTTACATCACACATCTTTGTAGTCATATTTTACTAATTAATACTTAATATATTTTCTATTGACAGTTGCATGATATACAAAAAAGAATTTCACAATTGAAAACGCGTATGATCTAATAAAAGAAGACAAAAATAATAATTTCAATACCAATTAAAATAAAATACTTTTTTATTTATTTTACATTTATTACATTAACCTAGTACTAGTTATATTAGTTGTACATTTATAGATTTTTAACTGATCATATACACAAATAGATAAAAATTATGCATAACCCCAAACTTAGGAAATATAAGTTCATAAGGATTGGACCTTGGTTATTGTTATTCGGTTCATTTACTCTCTATGCAGCATTTAAATATCACTTAAATAAAAACAATTCACAACACAATCACTCTATTTTTTAAAACAATAATTCAAGAATAAATTATTTTACTGTCAAAATGTATTCTCATTATTATATTCTATTGAAAAGTATACATACATACTAGACATTTTCATTAATATGTAATTTTAATGTAGTAGTTTATAGATAAATGACAAAATCTCATACTTATTGTTGATTATATAAACTCTGTTCAGCAAGAGAACATCCCTATTCTATGCATCTTCACTCAACACTGGATATTACTATGGCGGGCAGTATGTTCATGGTGATGCTGATTTTTGTTGAGCCATTGTTTGTTTTCTTGTTAGACAAAGTATAGAATATTTGTAAGTTGTAACACATTTTATTATTATTATTTAAAAATATTTATCAGATTAATAACTAATAAAATATCATTAACAAATACTTTTGAACATTTAAATGTTGTATTTTTTGCTTGGATGTTAAAATATTTAAAAAATATCATGTTTACCAAACCTTCAGAGTTTTAGTTTTAAATTATTCCTCTGATATAAATTATTGAATAAAAAAAAATTGTCATAATTTGCTTATTTTAAACTTAATTTATAAGTCCATTTATGATAATAAAATACTAAGGTTTGTGTAAAGATAAACATATTAACAATTAATTAAATGTTGGAAAAAAAATTATTTCAGTTGGAAATAAGTAACACATTTAACTATATAATAGTGTATGTAAGATATCCATTATCCCAGCCTCGCATCAAATGAATATTTTTATATTATTTATCATACGTTTTTTATTAAATAAGACACTATGATATCTGATTTTATACTTTATAACTATTACAATACATATAAATAAATAAAAATAAATACGAAAAAAAATCGGTGTGAATGATTTTATTATAATTATTCATATTAATATACTATATAAATATATATAAAAAATATTTTTAATAGAAGACTTGCAAAAAAGTGATTTGTATATGTACTGCATTTTTGAAATATTAATTGAAATTAAAAATGAATTTATTTAAATGGAAATTGGAAAAGCATACAAGAGATCGAATCAGTTTTATTTAATGGTATTTAACTTATATTGTTCCAGTAACTAATCCTGGTTGGTGAGAATTGTCTTCATAATTTCAGCTGTTACTATTTTTTATCCAGTCCACAAACTCATCTAACATAACAGGCCCTATGAATAAAAATAAAAAAATATACATTTTAAAATAGTAAAAGAAGCAAATATTACAAAATAATAAATATATCATGTAACTTATAACATAGACCGGGTTTTCACTATGGTGTATAACTTGTTGCAATACATGAAAAAACTATTGAGTCATACTGAGTTTAATATAATATTCAACTGTTGTAATGCACTCATTAAATGATAAATGATTAATTTAATTGAAAAAATCTATTAATTCAAAATAATTAAATATTAAAAAATCAAAAATCAAATATTTGTTTGTTTTACTTATCAGACATTTACTTTACATCGTATGGATTGGATAATATACAACATACATAGAACGTGATGGTCACAAAGCACTTAAATTGAATACATTTATATAGAATCGAATTATATAAAACTACATTTTCAATGCTTGAATTTCATAGGTAAAATAAATTTAATAAAACTTACATGCTCCGTCTATGTCATAATTTGCCAGATCTGTAGTGATAGATCGTGAAAATTCTAATATATTGCACCATTGGTCTTTATTAATAACTCTATACTTGGATTGATCGATAAATTTAGCAAATAAAGGGTAAAGTTTCCATTGTTTTCCAAGTAATAAATTTAGCATTAACTTTGCCGTTTCTATGTCCATACTTCGTTGATCTTTATCCTTAAAAATTCAAAAAAACTTATGTTTTCATTTGCATTCAAAACAATTCAATTTTAATAATCTAAATAAGAATATAAAATAAATGAAAAAGGAAATAACAATTTTGTTTTTTGGAATCATAATAATCATATTATAAATTGCACATTTATGAATATATGAAATAATACTATAACAATAATTATTATTAATTTTGACATCCAAAGTAAAACTTACTCTTGCAAAGTCATATGCATATCTATAAATACTTTTGAACGCCAATGGATCATTAAAATACAACCTCAAAGATTCCAATTTACTTTGAAGTTTTCTAACTGAATCACACCTGTGATCAAAATATATCTTATTAATTATTAATTACATATATATATATAATATCAATTTTAAATATATGAATTAAAATATTTACTGCAATTCTGTAAGACCCTTTGACCATTCAGCACTTGAGAAATATCCCATTGATTTAGCATTCATTTTCCAAGCCAAAACAAGCATTACTAAATCTTCTGGGTCAACCCCAATGTCCATACAAAATTTTTCCATGCCTTCCGGTCCTTAAAACAGTTTAAATATATGGATAATATCAAAGTTCTAAAAATACATTCTACTTTCTTTTATAAATACCTAGTTCACCGGAACCGTTTGTATATTTATGATACCAGGAAAGACATTTTTTATGATTAAAAACCATCATTTCTTCAAGAGGAGTTCTTTGTGCACTGAAAATTTAAAAAAAACATTGAAAGGTTGAAAATATGCAATCAAGTAGTGTGTGATTTTAGGTATCAATTTATTTCAACTAACCTAGTATAACGGCGTTTTGGAACCGAAGCATTTTCAGCTGTATTTATTTCTGTTGTACTACGTCGTTTCCTTGCCATCATTTAGATAATTCTTAATTTAATTTTTATATCTAAAAATGTATAAGATTTGTTATAAAATATAAATATATTATATCTTATGAAAATGTAGATTGGGATAGTAGAAAATTATTATCATATTGACAGGGAGTTAACATTTGTATACAATTGAGATAGAGCAATTTAAAAAACAAGCCATAAAATATCAATACTTGCCATAATTTGCAAGTGAATTACATATTTCAAATTTTCACATTACATTGTTGTTGCCTAGCATTTAAAACATTTTAATTACGCGTTATTTACTCGTTGTTCAGTTTCCGTACGATTGTTTTGTCAATATTGTAAATAACTACCTAATTAACTAATTTAACACTGTATAAAAAATGTTCACCAATACTTACAAGAAAAGTGTACTGTTATCTATTATAAGTTGTCGTAGCGTATTTAAGTAGGATTACGCTGTTATTATTGTAGGTACGACGATCAGGAACTCGGGGATTTGTTGTTTTATTTTGGAAACGATCGACAATATTCTCGGTTATCATCAAAACATTACAGATTGGATTTGACTAGTTTCATGTTGTATATTATTTTTATATAAAAATAAATGTTTTTAGATAGATATTAATGTTATTATATATATATCTCGTATCTGGTTCACTATTTTTGATTTATAATTAAAAAAGAAATCTACAACTCTTAAGCTAGTGTAAGCTGTGAAACGTAATAATCTAAGTAGTAGCACAGAATAGATTAAACTTAAAAATATGCAGTAAGGATATTTTACTTTTATACGCTGAATGTCGAAATTCAATAGATCTTAGAAAAAGGGTAAGATAAACCTTGCTATGTTCTTGACCAACAATATACCACATACCAAGACCAAACGCATTTCGATCTTGCGATTGTACGCGCATATGATAATATTATCATACTATAAATTGGTGTACGCACCAAGGTGGACTGATTCGTGATCAGTCACATATTATAAACCGTGGTATAATGGTATTATATTTGTTTGTAAATCATTTGTGATGATTATAATATCAATCGTTATAACATCGATGTACGTGTTGATTTTACACCAACGAGGGTGTGTTTGAATGTGTACACAATCTATAAGTAAAAATATACTTCCAATCTTTAATTTATAAACTGGTAGAAAGCAGATTTTTAGTTATTAAAATGGCACTTTTAGCCTATGAAAGATCAGAATTTAAAATTACCAGTACTTTTCAAAAGAATTCAGAAAAACCAACAAAAATCTGAGTGAAACAAATTTTCGACAAAATCGATTTTCTTAATTTGTTGAAATTTAAAACCAATAATAGTAAATGGCAAGAGAGGTACTTGAAATAATCACCAAATGGTCGAAATGTTTATAATCGCATTTTCCATACATGGTTGCATTTTTTTAGCTATTTATAGACATTACATTTGTTACTTTTTTCAATTTTCAGTAAAATAGATTCAATGTATGTCTTTGAATGTGGTTTATTAATGAAAATTAAATTAGTTTAGTACTTTAGGGCGTAAAATGTAAAAGATTAAACAAAACTTATTAATTAAACTACGAAAAATAAGAAAAAACATACATTTTTACGCAAAACGAGTTTTTGACAAAATCGATTTGTTTTTTTTTTGTTATAAAAATGGATAAAATTCTTAGGGACTTGATATTTTCACTGATTATTCGAATAAGTATTTTACTATTTTTCTAGGCATGGACAATTTCATAATATTTCTTTTCTATTTATTTATGTTCCTATTCTTATTTGTGGATAAAAATACTAGGTTCCTCGTAGTTTATTCTTATTACCATATCTATTAATAATTATCAAAAATACACAGATATGGAATTTTTATTTATAGAGTAAGAAATTATAATTTTGACAAAATTTGTTTAAATCACGAATATTTGCTAATATTTTTAAATTTGTAGAAAATTGGATACCGAATGAAAAAAATTATTGTACTACCTATTACTTATTTTGCTGTAATTTCAAAATATTCCTGGTGGCTTAACATTTTTCGACACGACGTATATCATTAATTATTATTATTACAATGGACAATTACATTTTTAAAGTTTAAAAATTGTCTTACGACTTGTCTGGAATTTGTTTCGTATAATACTTGAATTTTGCGTATCAATAAAGTAGATATCTTATCTGATACGGTGGTAGCTGATAAAAATGATAAACGGTATGTAATGACGTCATGGACAGTTAAACATTTTTCATGCTACTATCCATTTGTTTAGGATCTAAACTCCGGAGCGCTAGTGTAGGCAGTATAGCCCGAAATCATCATTTCGACTTTCTATATCTCGTATTCTCGTATAATATATGCAATGCGACCTAACGTCTGACTCGCGGCCCTTTCCCAGGTACATGCTGTATATAAGTGTATTGTATAATTACGTTTTGTTTGATAATATTCACTATTCAGCGACCGAAATGGATTTACGCGGTCTACAACGATTCTTTTGAACTCGGGAATCTAGTTTTCGTTCAATAAATTATCATATTAATTAAAACTATTATTATTAATTTAATCGGTGTAGATCGCTGTGTACATTGTTGTTTGACATAGACACAAAATTAAAATTAGCGTTTTCGGTATTTGTTTCTATCCAAAATATGTCGCAAATAAAGGTAATCTATGAAGTTTTTTATTATTAATTTTTAATTTTCCTTCATTGTTTATACTACTTGCTTGGAAACATTTATGTTAATACTGCCATCCTATATTCCAATGTGTACTCATTATGAAATACCAAACTTTCTTATTAGATAATAATAACTTGCTTCCTTTAATGTTACGTTGCAATTGTTTTTATATGATCTAATAACTTACTTATTTAGAATTTACAAAGTAAGAATCATAAAAACTTTTTATTCTTTTCTACCAAACAAGTCTTGTATAACTTTATAACATTAAACTATTTAAACTTAAAATACTTCAATAATTATAAAATTCGATTATCTACTTATTATTTTAGAATGATAAAACAATAGTACGGTTTGAAGAAAAATGGCCAGAAATGAGACCCATTGTAATTCAACTTTTACAACAAGAACCAGTAACTCAAAACGAATGGCAAGATTTATTTTATGCAGTTCACCTTGTATGCCTATGGGATGAACAAGGGCCAGTAAAAATGAGACAATTCCTAAAAACTGACATCATGGAATTCATAAAAAAAGCTCAACAAGTAAAATGTTCTTAAATTATCTAGATTGTAATTTGAATTTCTTTTTTGATTGTTTTAAAATTATTCAAGTCAATTACCTATCTACTTTATTTTGATTAAATTAAAAGTAATAGCTCAAGGTAGGTATTGTATTAAAAATATTATATGACTTCTTTTATTTTAGATATTTTAATACTACCCGATGTAAATTTTGTTGTTCATTATATTTTGTATTCTTTTATTATTTAGAGAGTTATGGCCCATCAAGAAGATCAAGCCCTACTTAAAGCTTATATCACTGAGTGGAGAAAATTTTTTACTCAGTGTAACTATCTGCCAACACCTTTTAGACAACTGGAAAATTCTCTAACAGGAAAATCATCGATTGGTATTAAAAAATGTAATGCCGATAAAGATTCTGTTGTCCGAAAGGTAAACTTATTTCATGTAGTATATTGTTAAGAATATTGTATTTTTTGAACATATTTAATTCCTGATGTGTACATTTAACATATACACAATATATGTTATTAAATTGTTTTGAAAATGCATTATTTTAAATGATGGAAATAACTTAAATAATATACTCTGCTCCACGAGAGAAGTAACCCGTGTCCTGATTAAATCGCATTTTAATCCGCTCCCCCTACATATTTGACACATCGACGTTGCATTACAATCGTTAGTGGTCAGTGCTACACTGAATGACACAAAACGGGGGAAATGAGGCCTTGTAACAGTTGCTATCGTCAATCTGCATGTGCGAAATGGGTTACTTCTTGTGGCACAGAGTAAACGTTAAATATTTTTTTACTTAAAAATTGTATTTTATCATTTTTAATATTTGTTTTTATTCAGTTGATGTTGGACAGTTGGAATCAAAGTATTTTTAATGATATAAAACAGAGACTTCAAGATTCAGCTATGAAACTTGTTTACTTAGAGCGAAACGGAGAAGCGTTCGACTCTCAATTAGTTATAGGAGTAAGAGAATCATATGGTGAGTAGGCTGAAATGTTTGTTTTAATTCATCTCTTGTACCATTTTTTCTAAATAATATAAAATTTTTGTTTTAGTTAATCTATGCTCAAATTATGATGATAAACTTCAAATATATAGAAATTATTTTGAACGAGCATATATCGAAACAACAGAAGCATTTTATAAAGCAAAAGCACCTGAATATTTAGAGCTTCATGGTGTTCAAAATTACATGCGATATGCCGATATGAAACTTCGAGAAGAAGAAGCCCGTGCTCAAAAATATTTAGAAACTAATAGTGGTTCTGTTCAAATGGTATTGTATAGTTTGGTTTAAATTTAAATCAATACTATAGTTAAATGGTTTAAATAATATTGATTTTTAGTTGACAGATTGTTGTGTTGTGGTTTTGGTTTCTAATTTCCGCCATACTATTTTAGCTGAATGTACAGACATGATTAAAAGCAACGATACTGAAAGTATATTATAAACAAATAATTAAATTGACTTAGGTCTTAATTTATTTTTTATTCCAGAACTAACACTTTTATTTAAACTAATGGACCGCGTACCAGATGGAATTTTAAAAATGTTAAAAGATTTAGAAGATTATATTGTAAGTGCAGGTTTAGCAGACATGATGGCATCAGCAGACATTATTACTCAGGTAAAATTAATGTTTATGTTAGTATGGTCAATGGTTATAACCTGATGTACATTGTACCATAATATACATTTTAATAAATTTGTTCATTTGATTATAGGATTCGGAAAAGTATGTGGAGCAACTTCTTCTATTGTTTCATAAATTTAGTAATTTAGTACGAGAAGCATTTAATGACGATCCAAGGTTTTTAACTGCAAGAGATAAAGCCTACAAACAAGTAGTTAATGATACTACTGTGTTTCGATTAGAACTACCTACAAAACAAGTTAGTTATTTAATATTATTCATTAGTGATTCTCTGTCTGGGTGCTGCAACCTCTTCAGTGGGTGGCCAATACATGATATTGATTATGAATCCAAAATACTTTTTTGTCATGAAAAATTTTTAAATTTTTTGGGGTTATCACTAAGAAGATATCCCACCCACATGTGTTCTCTTCGTCTTATACACGTATGATATACCAAATGTTTGTTCACTAGTTTCAATGGCGTGCTGTTAGTTTTGATATTAGAGTGAATGAATTGACCTATTATCAAATTTTTAGGTAAAAACATTATCTGTATTATCTCTCATTGGTTTTTACAGTATTTTAATTTTTAAGTGGATTATGAGCATTTTTAAATATTTATTCTTTACATACGTATAACTCACTTGAAAATTAAAATGTTGAAAAAAACAAACAAGAAAACACAGATAATGTGTAGACCTAAAAGTTTGATACTAGGTCAGTTGACTCTTATGTTAGAAACTTAGAACTAACAGCTCACTATTGAAACTAGTGAACAAAAATTCGGTGTGTTGTACATGTGAAAGACACAACTTACATGCGGATGAGAGGTCTTCTTAAAATTATTGAGGAGTAAATTAACAAACATCAAATAGGTTTTTTATTTTTGCTAGTTGAAATTGTACGCGTTATCTAATTTGTTTATTTAATACATCATTTTTATTAACAATATTTATTACTTAATTTACATTAAGGGTATTGATTTTCCCAATTTTCCACAA